TCAGAAGGTTTTATAGTCTAAGCATTTTTCATTCTTCAGTGTTGCAATGAGTGCTTTCATACTATGGTAGCAGGCACAATAGAATAGATTGTTGGAGAAATACTGGTACTTTGAATTAGTTTTAAAGCATGAGAGAAACACTGGCATCTAGTGGTCAGCTTGGTTAACTGAAAGAACATACTCCAATTACACCTGTATTAGGTACAAATAATTGCTTCCAAGGCCAAACTATCTAATTTATTTTTGTTAGGTTCCAGTTGGTTGTTTCATATATTAAGGAGAAACAAATACATGCACACACAAACACAGATATCTAGGGCAAGATCTTTTCTCACTTATTAGGTATCTAAGTGACACTTGGGTGCCTGATTATGATCTTATTTCACTTTGTCAAATGCCTGAAAAACCTTTAGCACAGAAGATGGTTGTCTTCCTCCTCACTATTTTCTGTTAATTAAGGCTTAATGCTAAGATGAACGCACATTACAAAAGCAGATGCTTTTGTTTTTTTAGCGATCTGAACAGCGTGGAATTAGGCTCAGCCCCATGTAAAATCATCTGTAGTTTCATAGCTCATTATCATTCAAATAATTTTAAAGTTATGCATGCGTCTAAAGGGCATATTTTCAAAGGTATTTAGATATTTACATATAGTCATCTATCTGGATTTTCAAAGATGTTTAAACTATAATTCATTCAATAGGACCTACGTCAGTGCTTCCCAAACGTTTCCTCAGCATGACCCTATTTATGGTCTAATTTCCTCAGCCTAGCCCCTCACTCCCAACCCACAGCCCCCCATCCCCATGATCCCATCTGCTGAGGTCGCAACCCTATTTGAAGTCACGACCCACAATTTGGGAACCACTGACCTAGGTGCTTAACCTAAGATAGTTGGAAAACCTAAAGGTATTTTGAAAACCTGAGGCAGCCCAGATCCAGAGATTTTGGCAGTGCAGTGCTAGGCAATGTAATAGTTTTAGGGAGCCCGATTCCCTTAGTGGCACCAGACCTGGATTAGGCATTTTCTGTTCCTTGTACAATGCAGTTAGGCGCTTCAGAATAAGGTTCCAGGGGATGCATGTACGCATACAATTAATGCGTATATTGTCAGTGTATTGCTCCTGGGAGCTGCATTTGAATGTGTGCCTGGCACCACAGCACATTGAGCTAAATCAGAGCAGCCCTGGCTGGCAGGCCAAAGGGTCAGCCTGCCAACTGGGGCTGCTCCAACCTGGCTCAGCACGCTATGGAGCAGTTGGCTGGGGCATGAGGGTGCTCCAGTGCAGGGCTAGCCAGGAGGCAGCCCTCTACTGAAACACCCTCATGCCCCAGCCAGCTGGGTCAGCATCTACATGCGCACTGCTGAGTACTAAAAAACCCTGCAGGAAGATAGTGCTTGTATCTGATATCCAAAAAATCTAGTATCTAATTTTGTATCTACTAATAAACTCCTATAGTGGAGTTTAGTTTACTGCAGCCTAATAGGGCTGCACATGTAGACACTGAGACTTTTACATTCAGTCAGCTTCACAGTAAACATCTCACGTACATGAGCCCAGGGGAATAGCTGGCGAGTTACCCACGCTAGCCAATAAAATTCTAAGAACAGGCATATGTCTTAAATCCTACCCTTTAAACCTTAGGTTCCTCTCTCCACTTCAGATTCACAATCCCATTCTGAACCTTCTGAAAAAAGTGCAAAGACCTTTCTTTCAAAATTGATCAGGGGTTACTCTTTTCTAACATAGCCAGAAGAGGTTCTCTTCCCCTTTCACATGATTGTTACCTAGTGGTTAAAGTATTTACCAAAGAGGGGATGGAAGTCCTGGGCTCCAATTCTTGTAAACTTACCTTATTATCTCCATAGTAAATTTTGCTCTGGGGGCAATGTTAAGTGTCAATGAATGATTTTCTAACAGACAGAACCCCCAAACTATTTTACAAACTTGTAAAACACAATATAGAGTTGAACTTTTAGAGGCAAATTTAGAGCCAGTAGGGTATATGAAGGTTAATCAGATGGATAGTTATCCCTCACTGCTCATATATATTTTTGTAATTGTTGCACAAGTAACTTTAGCACTGTATACATTGGCTTGGAAAAGATGCTGAAGAAAGCTATGGCTGTAGTTGGTGTCCACTACAGGAGTCCAACTACAGGAAACCAATGGCCAAATTCTCCTTCATTCTAATGTCTACTGAGAATCAGTTGAGCAACTTCCTGGCTTTTACTGTGCATTGCTCTGGACTTGTGTGTGGCAGCAATTCTTTTCTCAAGTTACCTCCATGCATTTCTGCAAGACAAAGCACACTAACGGATGTCTTCCAGAAGGTAAGCATTTGGGCCCCTATTAGTTTACACATGTGAAATGTTTGAGCCAGCCAAGGTTTTCTGAATTAACGATGTAATTATTTTAGTTTGTCAGCAACTAGGCAGTTAAATTAGGTTATTGTTCTATCACTTCATAAATCGAGTCCTGTTATAGCTAACAGAACAGTTACCTTCCGCTTAATTCTCTGAGGGATGTTCTTATAGTTAAAAGACACCTTTTCCAATTATTTCTGTAATTTGAAAAACCACTACCTTATTATTCTTGCATGCATTTGCCTTGCTTTAAAACTAAAATTAATGTTACAAAGAGATTAACCAAAGGACAAATTATCAAACACAGGTAAATCTTGGGAGTCTTACTAACAAAAATATTTCTGTATTTCTTCCATTTAAGAGCATCAGATATATTTATTAACTTAGAAAATGCCAATGTTGACATGAAAATGCATGTTCTGCTTGTGATATTGATTTGCATACACTTCTTGTTCTACTCTGTCTTTGACTTTTTAGAAGATAATTTTACAAAAACAACTTAAAAACATTGTGTTCAATGTTACTTAAAATTTCTGAAGTGCATTGTATGAGACTGTCTTTGAACTGAATGAAAGCACTCGTTTTTAGAAATACAAATTTTATTGAGGAGGAAAATGCCAATTTAATTTTTTCGTTCAGGAGCTTGTCTTTTCAGAAGTACACAGATCATTCAAAGTTCTGATAAAGGGCATTCACTCTACTTTGGTATTAACTGAACGTAAGCAAAGAACATCTTAAGTTCAAAACACTTAGTTAAAAGTATGCAAGCTACAACATGTTGGAGGGATCCTCCTTAAGAAAATATTGCTAAAACGTAGGCAGACAAGGTTCTTGTGCCTATGTCCTTAGACCAAACAGCTACAAGCTACACCCTTGCTAAAACTTAAGTCATTTTTCCATTTACTCGATCCATTATTAACGGGAGCAAGTCTGTCACAGGATTGCAATGCAGTCTTATTTGAACACCAAGCAGTGTGCTTTTGTCTAGTAGGGGATGAAATGAATGGAACTTTGTACCTGCAAAAGCTCCTTTGACATCAGTTGGGCAGGGAGATGCACCCAGCCTGCTGAAGTGGTGGTGGTGGGGATATAAAAACAACCTCCCCACGCAGAACAAACAAAAAAACCCCCAACACTTTACTGGAAGCGGAAGTGCATTAGTTTGTCCCAATTCCCTAGCATCTGTATATATTAGACGCTTCAGTGGGGCTTTTAGGCACTTTCATCTAGAGCCGATTCAATCAGCTATTAGATAAAAGGACCAAAAAGCCCTGCTGAAATGCCCAATATATAGACGCCGGGGAAGCTGGGCCAAACTAACATGATGCTTATTCTGGTTATGCACTGCGCTTGGCCTTGGGACAAGCCGAGCTGGAAGTGAAGCGCTGTTTTGTTTTTTTCATGACTGTAAGCGGCCCCAAGAATAACTTACAGGATCAGCTGCTAAAGACAGAGATGCATTGGGAACCACAGACAGGGAGGACGACTTTTTGCCTGCTATATGTATTTACAGTTATTCAGGTCAACCTGTTCAAAGAATTGGCATGGAAATCTGAATTTAAAAAGTGTTGTTTTGTTTTTAATACGTAAAGTTCTCATGATGTCTAATATCTCTTGAAAAGCTAATTTTCACTTTTCAAATTTCACATGCAGAAAACAGATTTCAGAGACTTTATTACTTTGCTGCGAGTGGAAAGACTAATTATGTGCACGCAAAGTCAGTGTATATATTTGCTACAGCCTGAATTAATTTATGCTACACAGATGCTTTTAGAAACCTGGGCATCACATCCAGCCAATGTTTATGCATGCTTAACTTTACACATTTCAGCAGCCCAACTGGAGTCAAGTGATTAAGCCTAAGGCTGTGTATGTTTTGCATGTCTCAAAGTGTTTTGTAGATTAATACTTGTACTTACACATTCTTGATGCTGATTTTTAACTTAATGATGGTTAATAGTCATCATTTGTAAAAATTTTACATCAGGGGATGGGTCATATTATAGATTGGTAACTGCTGTTAAGTAATTTGGCAAATATTAGAGATTAAAATGAAAAAAACTCAGTATACTATCTAAGAGGAAAAAAGTGTAATTTAATAAATATATTATTAAAAAGTCACTTAATAAAATGAGATAACGAAAAAAAAAACCCCAACATAAAAAACAGCTCCCTTTTCACCTTCCATCCTAAATCCCTTAACTTCAAAAGAAACCTATACACACATGAACTGTAGTGAAAGCATTCCATTTCTTTTTCCAGTATAAAACTGGCATTTTCAAGTATTTAAAACAAATTAGTTGAGTTTACAAGTTTATCAAACAGATAACCTGTATGAAAAAGTATATAATCCAGCTTGATCTAGGTCTATATTATACAGTATCAGTTACGAATTGTGATTTAGGAAAAAAAAAAAAATTTTACTTATCAACTGGGTCCTCTATAAAAATTTACTTCTTAATATACAATATGCATGGGATGTCTGAGATCCCAGACTATTTCCAGTTGTTTTTCGACATGGATTTCAAAATCTCAACTCACAGAAAATAGATGGGTTTGGACAAAAGGTAGATTACTGAGGTATTTTGGTTAAAACCTTGCACCGCCTGAATACAGTAAAAAACAGTTCCAATTGACTTGAACTATGTTTTTAATGAACAGATTATTAAATAGTAGGTACGTAGGAGTTATATAGAGAAAAGGTAATTGACCACGACTTAAAAGTTTGCTATAACAGAGATAACGATATTGGCTAGCACAAAACAAAGTGGTATATTCTGGTCAAATTCAGATACTCTGTAAACAATTATTACAACTGAAACATGGATAAGACCATGAAGGTACAAAATCCTAGTCCTTCAGGCACAGAGTACCAATTAGAAGTGCTAGGATATACTTCAGCTTCCAGCTGAATGACAAACAGAAAGAATGATTAAATAAAGGATTTTATGAAAATTAAGAACATAAAAATAATATTAAATTTTATTCAATTTTCTCTCTCTTTTCTTTCTCTGCCTTTCTTTTCTGCTGCAATGTCTTCAATTCTGTCATTACATTCAATGTTTTATAAACCCAGGCAATCTGAAAGACAAGTATATTTACGTTATGACACGTATGCAAATTAACATTTATTTACAATCTGTTTGTTTAAAAATAAGTTAAAATTAAATACATACCACAATTATTATAGCATTCAACAACAAAGGTGCTGAAAACACTAGAGAAATAAACATCCCTCTTGAATCAAAATACTGGTGTTTTGAAAATAACCTGTAAGAAATCAACTGAGAGTCAATCAACATACTTCACAAATTACAGTTTAATAAAAATTATTTCAGCACATAGAGACTTTAGTTGATTTGTATAATTTTGCAGTTTAAGAACTCAATGAACAGACCAAGATTCTATTATTGCAGATACAGTCCATGCGCAGAACAAATGCAGGTGATATTCAACCATGCCTTTTATTTTTATTCACAATCCTCATGCACACATTTTCATTCCCAGTGAGTCAAACTTGTACATCCAGAAACAATCTCGTGTTTGAAATACTATCCAATTTTACTTAATTCCTTTATTACAAGAGATAGCAGAAATTATTCATATATTATAGCCACAATATTAAAGCATGGGTGTCTAAAGTTGGACACAGATTTAAAGGTAGCTGCCCAAGTAAAATCATGGAAACATATGGGTAGTCAATATCTGATTATTCAAATCACTTTAATTTTGATGTCTATAAATATTAAAGGCTTTAGTTCTAAAATGTGTAGGCACTTCAAGATACAGATAGGCACCTAGTAGGATTTTCAAAAATACCTTTAAAAAAAAATCCGATGTAAGAACTCACTTTTAGAGTCAAGATGGATCAAAAATTATGCCTCCTGTATTTCTCCCTCTACCCAAAAAACCTACTAAATTTTCAATTTTATTCTCGTATGAGGCAAGTACCATTTTTTTCCAACTGAATCTGTAAGACTATTTTTAACAATATAATGGGAAAAGATGCTTTTCTTGATTAAGTATCAGGTTACATGATTGTACTTTTCATATTCATTTGCTTATAATTAGGGACCACTGGAATTCATGCTGGAAATGCATTGCGCAGCAGCTCCTTTAATTTGCAATTCTCCCCATGTACCCGCTCTCCCCTGTTGATTGGCAGAGGAGCACTGTTGCTTGATCCTGATGGCCAGGAAGCAAAAACTGCAGTTTTAAATATACCATGGTTTCTGCCTCCCATCTGGTCAGCAGAAATTGGTAGGGCTACCAGGGCCCCTCCGCCAATCAGAAATGGAAGGCAAAAACTGCAGCATATTTAAAATTGGGGTTTTCAGCTTCCCACCAATAGGTGGTGAACAGCGACATGGGCGAAACTGCAAAATTAAAGGAGCTGCTGCACGGCACAATTCCAGTAGTCCCTTCTTATAACTAATGGAAGTATTACTTCTAATACCTGCCTCTGTTGTTGCAGCATTTAAGACTCTATAAATTATTTTTGAGGACTGTACAAAAAATATATACTTTACATTTAAAAACATAAAAATATAACAATAAAAATAAATCCAGTTACCTCCAATTCATGGCAGCCAGTTCATTGATATATTCAGCACAATAGACCAGGACCACTGTAACACAAAGAAAACTATTATAATCAACCTCTCTTTAAAATACAATAGTTGGTAATCAGTTCCAAGGCTGTTCACGTTATGAATACCATGACTCCCTGTCCCTCAAGAGAATGAATGTAATCATAAACTTAAGATTTTAATCACAAGAGAAAAAAAAATTCTCATAAGTTTATAAGCATCTCACACAAGTTGTGACAGGATATCAATGTGTGACCACACTATATAGTTACAGTTTTACAAAAAGATATACCTGTGCATCTAAGTTTACCGAAAATATTCCACGTATACATTCATTTACATTACACTCTTCACTTTTTAAATGAAGTTACTAGCTGTGCGTTTGGAAGATCTAGGTTAAGTCCAAAATCTCAGCAAAACTCCATTAACCCCGAAACAAACCTGTAAATATCTGTCAATTACTTGAAATCACGATCATGAAGAAAACTTTATAGTTCTCAGAAGAAACAATTGCCTCAAAGCCTGGATGAGATTAAGAAGACTCTTTTCAAGTCACAGATGCCATCTTATCTCTCATTAGCCCCTTCCAACTCTCTTCCCCTCGTACTGTATTTAATAAGATGTGTTCATGCACAAAATCTGATACTTTTTGTAACTAGACAAGTTCTCAAATCTACTTTATTTGCATAAACTGTTCAGGAAGTCACACTTCTTATACTTTACATTGTAGTATATGTAAGCATCCATGTGATTCCCCTACACTTCTGCCTGCTCCCTCCGGCAATATTTCATCAGGACAGTACTACATAGGGTACCTCTCTCCCTCCCATCATTCATGGCAGTCACATGTGTGAGAGAACATCACTTATGAAAACACACAAGTGTGCCACAAAGTTGTCTTGAACATATTTCTTTGAAAAGGAAAACGAATCCCATAGATGTTCAATGACCATGCACAGTTTAAAAAACAAAAGAGTAGGAATAATTTGCTGTAGGGATGTGAAGCCTGGCATAGTATGTTATACTAGTAACATACCCAGAAAGCAGTGCATCTGCTGCCTTATTTTTCAGAGATGTGAGTTGTAACGAGACATGTCGTACACATCTCTTGGTTTAAAGTTTTGGTAATGAAACACAGACAAAATTAAACCAACTTTGGAAAATTCAGACAATTTGGAAAACTTAAAAGGTGAACCATGCAGGACTATAAAATAAGGGGCTTATGCTCTTTTGGGTGTATAAAGAAAATCTGAAAGTCTCTTCCTCCACCTTTGTTTTTCCTGCCTGCTTTTTACCTTAGAAATGCCAGGAATGCCTTCCTTGGTTTTGCTGGCAGACTTCTTAGTGATCTCAGATGGGTACTGTCAGCTCTCACCTTAATGGAAGGGCATTGTATTAAAAAAAATAAATAACTGTCATGCACTTGAAAGTTCCATTAACAACAGAAAACATAAAATAAAGTTTGCAACCACTTGCCTAAGACTCTTTCCTCTCGGCCTCTAAGCTTTTAATCTGTAGCAATGTAATAATTTTACTTTTTCTTCATCGACCCATGGCCTTCTTGACTGAAAAATTCCAACTGTGGTTAACAGCAGTGCTGTCCTGGGTATGCACAAGGCTGGAACCAAAGCACAGACCACTGCCTGCCAAGGGAATGCTTGCATTTTAAGTACTGCATCATTAGAAGTCTACATCAGTGTCAAACTTGGATGAGTTTGTAGGCTGGTCCTAGACTACAGGGCTTCTCACAGGTCAGACTACCTGTTTCTGAATCTAACCCATAAGACTTCTCCCTGCAGCTACCAGAGCCACTGGGCTGATGCCAGCTGCCAAGGAGTTAATATTGCTGCTGCTCAACCCCAGGTCCCAGGGTGGCCACTGGTAGAGGAGCTAACAATACCACCACTCAACTCATTGCCAACTGCATCAATTTTAAAAGATCAAAAAAGGTAACTTCAGCAGCTGCATTCACCCCCATGGGCTAGCAGCTGACAGGGGTGAACAGAGGCATGGTTAATTCCCCTGCTGCTGCAACCACAGCCAAAAGTTCCATGGGCCCAGATGACCCCCCTTCTCTGGGCTGGATTCAGCCCATAAGTCATATGCTTGATACCCCTGGTGTACATCACACCCTGTTTAAAATACCAGCAGCAGCAAGCCCTATCACTGTTTCAGTGTACTTACACTGTTGCCATTGTCCCTACCTTTCAGTTTTTCAATGCATATGATTCTTGAGAAAACTTTAGTCAAAGAAAAAAAAAAATCAATTAATTGAAAGATATTTACAGCTTTAACACAGAGCTCATCATCTACTCATCGATCATGAGAAGTCTCGGACTGTACCTAGCAACAAAAACTGCCCAAATTAACAAATCCATGCAGGAGTCACTTTAATTACTTTCTGCTTTAGTTAGACAGGAGTATTACCAGCTTATTAGCTGGTTAACATGATACAACATTTGTTTAGATGAAGCCACAAGACTAACTTCCAGTGAGCAGGCTAGAAAACCTGTGTCCTCTGTCACTGCAGGAGGTACCTACCTCTGTATCGCTATAAATGACAACCCTTTAACAGGACACAACAGATGGTCAATATATGGAAACTGCTTTTAAAAAGCTGTAGAACTAGGACCCACCCACCAACCCAAGGAGGCAGAGCCAAGTATACAGTGAGACCAAAAGATTTAAAATTACTTGGAAGGCGCTTGCCTAGATTTGCAAAGATGGGATTAAAATAACCATGTAAAGAGATCAGTATTATAATAAGCAGCCAATTTTTATGCTGACCAAATACAAAATGTCATTTATATGAAGAACACAATACTGCCAGCGGCGTGCCTGTGTGCACATGTACACACCTGCATTGGCATGTGTGCATGAATCTGTTTCTGTCCAGGAAGAGCACAGACCAGCTGCAGATGCTTTCTCAGCCTGACAAACGGTGTTAGTACCCCAAAGCGGGCAAAGAAAATTTCTATTTGAGTCAGTCTAATAAAAGAAATCATTTACCCAAAGAACCATGTCTACCCTTAGACCAGGGATGGGGAACATCCGGCACACGGACTAGATGCAGTCAGCTGGAGACTCCGTTTCCCAGCTGCCCCTGCCAGCATGGCTTGTGCCAGTCTCCACGGAGACCACAGCCTCAGCCATGCCTGCAGCGCAAGCAGCAGAGCAGTGCAGGGGGCTGCTTTGGAACTGCTGGGATCTTGGGATGGGGGCAGCTTGCTCCAGAGCCAGGACAGAGCCGCAACTTGAAGCCTGCATGCTTCGGGCAGGGGCATGCATGCATGGGATTGTGGCTCTTCCCCAGCTCCTTGCAGCAGTGACAGCCTGTCTGGAGCCAGGGCAGAGCCACGATCCCCTGCATGCATGCCTCTGCCTGGAGTGCGTAGGCCACAGATCATGGCTGTCCTGGCTCTGGAGCAAGCTGCCCCTGCTGCAAGATCCCAGCAGCTCCAGAACAGCCCCCTGCACTGCTGGTGTGGCTGAGGCTCAGACCAGCACAAGCCACGCGGGCAGGGGCAACTTGGAAATGAAGTTCCCGGCCAGATACTCCCCATCCCTTCCTCAGACCAACACAGCTACAACCTACACCCTACATCTGTGTGCGTGAATGTGTGCACATACACATGTGCAATTAGGACTCGTGGTTGAAATGATCTGTTTTATTCGACCAAGATTTTTGCCAAAAAACCCCCAAACAAACAAAAAAAACCCCCAATTCCTTAATGACAAGCTTTTGTGCACAAACACCCTTCTTCAGGCAGAGAAAAGACTACAGAAGTTCTTCAGGGTAGAAATGAAAGTTTGTGTAAAGAACGTCATAGAGAGCTCTTCATACGAATGAATAAATGCAAGTTCATAGAAAGAACTTCGACAACCTCTTCCCCGATGCCTGAAGAAGACTATTTGTACCCGAAAGCTTACCATTAAAGAACTTTTTTTTTTAGTACAAATCTAGTTGGTCTAATAAAAGAGAGCACCTCTCCCACCAGTCCCGACTCCCTTTTGCCTCTCGACCAATAGGGCTACAACCTGGACACCGTACGCGTGTGTGCACCCACCTCCGTGTGCAAGGCACTCACCCAGGCAAAGGAAGTGTCCGAGCTGCAGACGGCGGCGCTGGAAGGAGACGCACGTGAGCAGCAGGCAGAGGCCGTGGAAGGCCGCGAGCCCCAACAGCCAGGGCTCCGACCAGTCTGTGTCCTGCGGGCGGGGCGGCGGGTCAGGCCGGCACGGACCTCCCACCCCCCCGCGTCCCCGGGTGGGGGGGGGAGTCCCGGAGCGCGCCCCCACCCCCGGGCGCATGCGTGGGAAGGGACCGTTACCGCCAGCACGGTGGCAAACCCGACAGGAACCGCGGCCCGCGGCGCCTCCATCCTGGCAGCCGACCCACACCTCTTCTCGCGAGATCTTGCGGAAGCCCTTGACGGACCGGAGCGCTGGAATCTCGCGGGTTGTTAGAGCGCGGCCGTTGGTCATGGGCGGGGCGGTTGTGCCTCGCGCTGCGCTGTGACGGAGGGGGCGGAGCCGGAGTTTTCCCGCGCACCGTCTCGTTCTACCGCATGAGCTGCCAGGGGAGGGAGGGGCTCGTGTCAGCCCTGGCAGGGTGTGGGCAGGTTATCCCTTTCTCGTCTCCTCCCATGAGAGCCTGGGCATCACCAGGCAGCAAGGGATGGGGAAGGAACAGCAAGGGGGCACGAGGGGAGGCCGCAATGGTGGGATTTTTCCCATACAGTCGCCTAGACCCCTGCTGGCCTGAACGTCTGACTGCTGCCAAGTGGAGCCAGTCACAACTCTTGGTAGAGGCGGTATCTTTTATTCAACGAACTAAATAGTTGCAAAAAAAGCCTTTATTTGCAAGCTTTCAGGCTGGTGCACCTTTCCTCAGGCAAAGGAGAGTGCATGGGTTGTAATGTTTCTCCCAATTGGTGTATTCTCCTTTGCAAATACGGAGATTTTTGCAACTAAACACTTTTTTTGCAACTATGTGGTTGGTGAAACTCGAATAAAAGATACTGCCTCTACCAAGAGCTCTCACTACTTTTGCCTGTAGCCTGACACAACTAAAACAAGTATCCCCGAAGTGAGCTAGCACTAAGACCCATTGATGTTTGAGCAGTTCACAGCGTAACAAGGCTCTGAGAAAAATTGCGGCACCTATTGAGAGGAGCCAGGAAATGAAGATCCATTGGGTCGCAAGAATACATGAAAAGGTCCGTAATAGACTTCAAAATGGATTCTCCTTTAAAGGAGAATAACATGGGAAACTGTGGCTTTTGTCTTGCAGTCTGGCTGAGTTCCAGCTTGAGAGGGGTTGCTTGTGCCCCTGCCCCCCACACATTGGGGGGCAGAGGGTTGGGAGTGAGGGGCACTGGGTCTGGACTGGCCATCTGTTTGCAAATGGGTTCTGGTACGAAAAAGGTTGAGAGCCACTGGTTGTGTACTAATGTCTACTAGGAAAAAAACAAAGAACAGCATATTTTTAGCTGCGACTTTGGCCAGGTGAGTCTTCAGATCGGAACAGGAGTGAAACGGATGCTTGTGTTCACCAGAAAAACCCACCAGTCTTTCAAAACAGCCCAACGTTTCCACCGCAAGGTTTCACATGTTGCTCTCACTAAGTTCTGTGTTTGCTTTATTTAAAAGGACCATGACCTGTCAGACTCCATATTATTCGATTTTATTTTTAAGTTGGGCCTTTATTTGTACAGTACAAATCCAGATCTGAAGTTGCAAAAGGAGCTTTCACCATTTGAAACATTGTTGCCAGGTACTGGTCTCCTTCAGTGTCTCCTGTTGCACTGAAGTCCCAGAGCCCAATTTAAATCTCACACTGCAGGGATGCCAAAGGCCATCCCAGTTGCCTCAGTTGTTTGTAGCCACTCAGGTTGGGGAGTCACAGGTGGTTAGAAGTGATGCTAGTGTGTGCTGTTAGCTACAGAAGCTGATAGGCTAGTGTTATGGGTTCCTTGGCTTGGGAAAACGTTTGACTTTGACTGTTCTCTGACAAGGATGGGCTTTTTTGCCAAATGGTAAGAGATACCTTAAAAGTACATACTGGGCACGTCTACACAAAATGCTGCTGCTCAGTAGCTCATTGCTATTGTGCAGTAGTGTTGGTCCCTAACCATGATGCGATGCTACTGCATGGTAATAAGCTGCTGTGCAGCAGAATCTGAAAAAAAAAGCATGTGGGGAACACTGGTTACTGTGCAGTCATTTAGTACTTGTTTATGCTCAGTCCACCACTCGGTCTGGACATGGCCAATGAACTGCTCAGTCCACCACTCGTGTAGACATGGCCAATGAAGGGGAACGGGGTTATTAATCTTAAATGCTTTGATAGCAAACTTTCATGCTTCTCTCTCCCATCATGCATCACAGAGCTAATCATGATGCTTGATTTTTCTGTTGCCAAATATGCTCTGTCACCCATATTATGGAAACCACTGCTTTGCCCAGATGTAGGG